GATTTCAACAAACTTCATTTTTGTGAGTTTTCTTATCAATGGAGTTTTCTATGGAGGCTGCTTTTTGTGTTACAAAATCTTTGATATTCACAACTATTTAAAGATCTTCTGTGGGTCTCCATAAGGAGTGTTGGTGGTGTTTTGGGTTAAGTACTGGGCTGATACCCTTAAAAGATTGGAAGTTCAAACCCAGCAGCCTCTCAGAAGGGGAAAGCTAAAGCTGTCTGCTTCCATAAACATTTACAGTGTCAGCAAGCCAGTCAGGGTGCAGCATAGCGCCAATGAAACATACAACTTTCCTCTAGTTCTTTAATGCTCCCCCCGCCCTACTCTCATCCACTATCATTACCCCAATTCTACCTTACAAATCCGGCTAGACCAGAGCATGTACACAGGTACAGGTAAGAGCTGGAAACACAGGGAATCCAGGACAGTTAAACCCCTCAGGACCAACAATGAGAGTAGCGATACCAGGAGGTTAAGGGGAAGGCAAGGGGGGTGGTGGAGCCAATCACAATGATCTACATATAACCCCCTCCCAGGGGGACGGAAAACAGAAAAGTGGGTCAAGAGAGACATTGGTCAGTGTAAGACATGTAAAAATAATAATAACATAAATTATCAAGGGTTAATGGGGGAGGGAGGGGGGGAGAAAAATGAGGAGCTGATACCAAGTGCTCAAGTAGAAAGAAAATGCTTTGAAAATGATGATGGCAACAAATGTACAAATGTGCTTGGCACAATGGTTGGATGGATGGCTTGTGATAAGAGCTATAAGAGCCCCCAATAAAATGATTTTTAAAAAAAAGATTTACAGTCTCAGAAACATTAGGATCACTATGCGTCGCAATCTAGTGGATAAAAGTGGGTTTGGATTTTTTAGTGGTAGGTCTCCAGAGCCATCCGGATGGACAAAATGTTTCCCATGAACACAGGCCTTTTCTATATCAACAACAAAACAAAGCATCAAACCACTGCCATCAAGTCATTCCAACTCATAGTGGCTCCACAAGACAGAGTAGAATTGCCTCTTTGGGTTTCCGAGGCTGCAAGTCGTTATGAGAGCAAACAGCCTCATCTTTTTCCCGAGGAGCAGCTGGTGGGTTCGAACTGCTGACCTCACAGTTAGCAGCCCACTACATAACCCACCAGGGCCCATTCCTTTTCCATAAAGTCTCTGCTTATTTTCCTACTCCTCCATCGCCCATTCCTTCTGTGGCCCCTCCCACTCCCCTGACTCAAATACACAGCATTCTCCGTGCTCTAGGCTATAGGCCACCCTCTCCCCATAGTGATTCCGTTGTTAAACAGATGCTTTGTTCTGCCCCTGGCTGCCTTCTCCACTTCACCTGGGTACATTTCCCAGTTATCAAAATGCATATCTAGGTGGAAGAGGTTTCTAGGCGGAAGGGTGAAGGAGAGTTACATAGAAATGGTTAATCGCCTGGCTATGAGCTGAAAGGTTGGTGATTCAAAACCACCTAAAGGGTACCTTCGCAGACAATCTGCTTCAGAAAGATCACTCTGCGCGCATGGAGTCGCCATGCATTGGAATCAAGCACCATGGTACCAAGCAACCAGGAACACGATAGATGAATCTTGAAAACATGGTATGATAGTTAAGGCTTATTGTGCCAACCTGGCCAATGAATACATATGGGATTAATTGAAGGGCAGAGAGATAAACGGCTCAGTGAGCCTCGCCTTTCTTGTCTCTTGCTCTCTGATGGTTGGACCAGTGTGAAACTGCCTTAGCTAGTTCTTTGCCTCAGCTGGGAAGGCTCACTACCTGCGAGACATCCCTGAGAAGAAGCCACATGGACCTACCCCGATACAGTCCTGGGTGCTGGAGCAGCTGTGTAGAGACCCCTGCCAGTGCTGAGATGCTTACACGCTCACTGATGTGGCTTTCCTCCTGCAGTCGGTGTCATCGCATGTGTTTTATGGGATAGAGGAGGACTTTATAGATGACTGTATCAGACATATGGACTAATGTCGAATTTATGAGCTTAGACAGCACTGGGTTGGGCTGCTTTCTTAATGTACACTTACCCTTTATATAACTCATAAAATATGAGTGTCTATGAATTTTGTTTCTCTAATCTACCAGAAGAACATACATGGTGATAAGTTTTAAAAGCCAGGAATATATTGCGTAGTTTCATTTGCATGAAACATCCGGAGCTATCAAGTCCACAGTGCCAATGAGACTAGTGGTTTCCAGGAGATGGGGCGAAGTGGGGATAGGGAGTGACCACTGTGGGTATGGAGTTTCTTAGGGTGGGGGGTCATGGACACGTTCTGGAATGAATGGTGCTAGTTGCACAACATATTGAATAGACACGTATATCCACTGAAATCGACCCTTGACATTGTTATATGCGACGTAAATTATGTGTCCCTGTTTGCAATGCTACAATACAAAATACTATCAGGCTCCCCACTGCGCTTGAACTCACATGTGTCCCTCTCTCTACTTTGTGTCTGGTGGCTTCTTGCTGGGGAATGGTTAGTTCCGAACAGCCTAGGCTGAGATGGTGCCATCACTTGCAGGTGTGCCCGGCATGAGTGCGCAGTCCCCACTCGCTCCAAGAGCACTGCAATGACCCTCCCCGTGCTGCCCCCCTGCAATAGGTTGTGACCTCACGAGAGCAGAGACCATGCCTGCGTCATCACTGTGTACTCTGTGTGCCTGAGACCAAACAAATGAAACAAGCCCACAGCCACTGAGTTGAATCTGACACATCACGATCCTATATAGGTTTTGGAGACTGTAAAAGCCATTTTCATGGGAGCAGATACCTTCGCTTTCTCCTGAGGAGTGGCTGATGGGTTTGAACTGCTGTCCCTGCATTTAGCTGACCAACGTCTAACCCGCGGTGCCACCAGGGCTCCTTTGTACCTAAGACAAGTGCTTTGAGAATAGAAAATTTTAAATCAGTGGTTCTCAATGGTAACCCGGGGTGGCAGGGTTGGGGTGCGGGGTAGAGAATTGTGCCTCCTAAGGCCAGGGGCCCGTTGACAATATCCGGAGACGCGTTTGTCACTACTTGGCGGGTTGGGTGCTCCTAATGGGTAAAGGCCAGGGATGGTACTCAATCATCTATAATGCACAGGACAGCCTCCCCATAGTGCCCTGTAGCATCAAGGCTAAGAATCCCTGTTCTAAATGGTGGAATGGATAACTGAGGAAACGCCACCCCCACCCCCACCCCCGTCAAATAATGCCATTAACGATGAAAGAAAACATAGCCCCTCCCAGAAAAAGTAAATAATGGAATCATCCTGGGCTTTGGTGCTTTCATAAAAGAAATGCCCCAGACCATTCCTCGTGGCTTTGAACTGAATGACCATGCTTGTGGGAGAGGCAGACCAGGAGGGAAAGTTGCAAGGCCTTTAACTCCTGACCTGGACTAAGGTATGATTAACTTGCATACAGTTCAACCCTGCAGCCTAAAGCAGGTCGTGCAAAGAACATTCTTTTTCCATTAACACAGCCCAGCAAATATTGAATGGTATCTTTCATTTGCCTGAAGCAATAGCCACAGCCCTCCACAAACTCTACAACAGGGCTCGACTTTTCTCTGAGCCTGATAGTACCCCGTCCAATGCCAGGAGAGAGTGCTTAACTCAGGTCCTTTTCCATGTTGGGGTACTTGGGAGAGATGGTTTTACATTTTTAAACGGCTGAAGAAGAAGATTTTTTGATGTGCGAAAGGAACCTGAAATTCACCTTGGCACCTAGCCACATCCACCATTCACATATCTATTGCCTGAGGATGCAGAGCCAAGTAGTGATGACAGACCCTGTGTGACCCCCAAAGTTCACAACCGTTAGCATCTGGCCCACATCTGCTCTGCCATTCAAGAGTTGAGTCAATTGGGTTTCCAGAAGGCTGTGTGGAATGAGAACGAGCCCTAAGCTGGGGTCCCTAGCATATAGATCTGCTGGGGCTGAAACTCCACACTCTTGGACTGGGGTTTCTTGACCTGTAACAGGAGAGAGCTCTGCAAAGGAGTCCCTGGGGTCCTTCTAGCTCTGACCAGCCTTGACTGTGTAACAATTCCCATTTGTTCCATGGCTCTCCAGTGGCCAATGGAGTGGGAGGCAGAGCTCTGGTCTGGGATAAAGCCACACAGCCAGACAGTAGTGTTAGCATACTTGGCATTGGCTAGCTACCATGTCTATGTGGCACAGGTCTGAAAATGGGCGTTCTGGAAGGCTTTGGGTAGTGTGCATTGGGTGCCATTTTCATGTGCCTTCATTTTCTAGAGTAAGTGTTGGTAGTTGCCATCACATTGGCACTGATTGTGGGCAGCCTTTTTCCATACACCAGAATGAAGTGGCCCTTTGCTTGGTCTGCTGGGATCCAGCCCTCTCACGGAAGGGCTGCCTTGTTTTCAATGACCTGCTCCTTGGCCAGCCACAAGGCTCTCTGCTAACAATTGGTCTTTGCTGATGATGAGTCCAAAGTAACCAAGCAGAAGTCTCAGGAACCAGCCTCGCTTCTAAAGGGGCCTTCTGGTTGTAATTTTCTCTAAGATTGATTTTTAATCTAAAACCCCAAATAACACTCATTGTTGCTGAGTTGATTCCAACTCATAGTGACCCTGTGAGACAGCGTAAACTGTCCCTGTGGGGGTTCAGAGACTAAATCCTGACAGAAGTAGAAAGCCTCATCTTTCTCCCTTGGAGCAGCTGGTGGTTTCAAACTGCTGATCTTGCAGTTAGCAGCACAACATGTAACCCGCTAATCCCATTCTTTCAATCCTAGGAAGGGGAGAGAAAATGCACAAAACTGGCTAGTGGGGAAGACGGGCAGGGCCGGTAGCGGAGACTGGCAAGGCATATATTCAGGTTTTCAAAATCCCATTTTGGTGTTTGTTGAAAGGAACTGGGTCACTGCCATCTCTCTGGTTCATTGAGTAGCAGGCTGAGTCTCTGTAGTCTTCCTTGCTATTTATTCTTGGCATGCTCACGCCTGCTTCTTTATCTGCAGCCCAAGGAATCACGGGCTCTCGCCACGGGCAGGCCAGCCTGGAGTCTGCCGCTATGGAAGTAAACTGGCCTGCTGCCACGGCTGGAGAAGGAACAGCAAGGGAGGCTGTGAAGGTAATTCTGTGAAAGATCAGGCACCTTGTTCTTGGTATTATGTCAGGCCCCTTAGTTTTGTTTTGTTCTTTTCTATAATACACTGAGCTAGCCTCAAACTGCCAGCCAGCTCACCAGGAGACATAACTACAAACACCCACCACCTCGGTTCCCAAGGAGGGACGCATACTTGAAAATCTAGGAGTGGCAACCCAGGAGATACCCTCCTATCTAAATATATGGGACCAAAACCAAATTCGCACCCAGCGAGTCAATTCTGACTCATGGCTACCCAGGGTAGAACTGCCCCTGGGGGTTTCCGAGGCTGGCACTGTTTCCGGGAGTAGAAAGCATCATTTTCATCCCACAGAGTAGCTGGGGGGTTCGAACTGGTGACCTCAAGGTTTGAAGTCCAACTCCTAACCACTACACCCCAGGGGCTCCTTAAACATATCTATCTGTTGCCAAGGGGTCGATTCCAACTCGTGGCAATCCTGTGTGTGTGTGTGTAAGTAGAACTGTGCTTGAATAAATCTCAAATTATCTGGGAAAAGGCTAGACTTCCTGCACTAGAAAGACCTCTGAAACTGCTGCCGTGAGCTACCCATTACACATGGTGTATAACAGAGGGCCTCATCCCACCACAGCCTGATCTGTGCATGCCGTGCTCCGTTACAAAAGCGCATCTATGTGAGACCCAATGGGCAACATTTACGCTAAAGCAGTGGTTCTCTACCTTCCTCATGCCTCAACCCTTTCATATAGTTCCTCCTGTGGTGGTGACCCCCAGCCATAACAATACTTTCGTTGCTACTTCATCACTGTCATGTTGCTACTGTGATGAATCAGTCCATCCCTGTAAAAGGGTCTTTTGACACCCCCAAAGGGGTCGTGAACCCCAGGTGGAGAACTGCTGCTCTAAAGCGAAGATGAGAAGGGAAGTGGGGAGGGAAGCTAGATTCATAGAGACAAAAATCATGAGAATGTTGGCATGCTGGGGACAATATGTAAAGATGTTAACGGAGAACTTAATGAGTTGTGTAATGTTTCACCAAACCCACAACAAAAATTATTGAAAGATTTTGAAAAGCAGAACTGTGCTCAATCGTGGTTTCCAGGTATTTCTTCCAAGGTCCAACCCCAAACCTTTCCATCAGCAACAGAGGGTGGGAACTTTTTGTTTTGTTTTGTTTTCTTTTCTTTTCTTTTTTAACATTTTATTAGGGGCTAATACAACTGTTATCCCAATCCATACACACATCAATTGTGTAAAGCGCATTTGTACATCGTTTCTCAAAACATTTTCTCTCCATTTAAACCCCCGACATTA